ACACATGAAGGGACATGCTGCTGAGTTGGAATGACATCATTATTAAAGATCCGGCCCCGAGAGCCTTGGCAGGAAGTGCAGGCTAGCACGTCCCTGGGATGTTGGATTCGCAGGTTATACGATTGATTAAATATAAGCCTTGTAAACATCTGCTGCCAACTACACATCAAAGACACAATCCCTGTTACTGTCTTCTAAAGACAAACTCATTAGGGAGTCAAAGTGAACAAACAGGACATAAATGGGAAAATCCTCCCCAGCACAAAATTAGAGTCACATTGGGCTGTGTGCAGGTGGAAAGCCAGGCCAATCTGAGAAGCTCTGCTGAACTTGCTAGGTCAGTTTTCTCTGATTAAAAAGTCACAAATTCTCTGATAAACCCCCCAAAATGTTATTACAATTAAAAGCCCCTTGCAGCCCCCCCTAGCACTGCTGGTGCCCCTCACTGCCCCCACAACTTTCTAAATGTTTTGAGTTTCGAAGCTCGGCTTCCCTAAAGAGAACCAGAAACTAAGGGGAGGGATAGGGAGCAGGGGGAAGGACTGCTCGGATATTGACTGTGTAGCTGGCCAGTGACTGATTCTTTTGAGGTCCCTCCCAATCCCAGTGCTCTTGGAGGCGGTGGGGGGGATAGAAAAACAGCTGCGCCTTAACACACACACAGTCAACGTCACAAGTGTTGCTTGTTCGCAGCTTGAGGTGCAGTTTCCCCCAAAACCCCCGCACCTATCTCCTTGAAACTTGATAGGCTTTGTGGCCTAAGCAGGGGCCACCCTCCCTGCTGTTTTCATTTGAGTCAGGCAAGAAATGACAGTTATAGGCAGTTTTGTGATTCCTCATTATAGCCTATGGGCGAAACAGCAAAATAGTTTTGACAAAAAGAAACGAATGGCGCATGCCCCCGGCGGCTGGGGGTGGGGGCACAGCTGCACTGGCGACAGCAGGAGTGTGGTGGTGGGAGCACAGCAGCGGTGAGCAGGGAGCTCTCACAGGTGCTACCAGCGCTGTTGGCAGCAGTGAGGGGGGAAGGGTGGCGAGCACCAACCAGGGGTTGGCGACCACCCGCAGGCACCGTCGGCAGTGGTGCCATCAGGGATTGCTGACCACCTGCAGATGCTGCCAGCACTGTCTTTTTGCAGGGGGTGCACTGCCACATTCAGGGGGTGCACATGCACCTGCATGCACCCCCTACACATTGCCCTTGTGGAACAGTGCTTCGAAACAAAATGAAACTTGAAACAAAACACTGTCCCATCAAAACAGAAGCTGAAAAGAAATGGTATTTCCCACAGCCCTAATATTTGCACCATTTCATGGGGGCATCAACTCCAAGAGTACAGGCTCATGCCAGTGTGTGCGTGCACATCCAACACCCATACCCCAACAGCTCCAAAAGCCACCTCTCAGCTAGCCCACAGATGCATGCATCACTCCAGAGGACAGAGGCATGCACCAGGGCTCCACGTTCCCCTGCGGTACCCCCAGCTTGTGGATGCCCTGGAGTTGAACAAGGGACTTGTCCGTATCTGCCAGCTGCCCATTCCACGAGTCCCACGAGTCCCAATTCTGTAGTGGTGGGAAGGTTTGCAGGTATGAATGGTTTAAACAGTTGTTTAAATCACTGGTCCTGCGAGCCCCTCCCTGTCTAAGCAATGACCATATGGGCCTGAGTACAAGCCCTTCATCTCCCTCCTCCTCTTACCTGAGCCTCTGTCTCTGGTGTAGAAGCCACTCCTCCTCCCAGCTCCAACTCCCACTCCCAAAAATACTACTCTTTCTGCAGCTCCTTTTCTATTCACAGCTGGAGGTTCCCTGGGACGTGGAAGGGAATGAAGGGAGATCCATCACGGAGCACAGCAAGTGGCCCCCCAGGACACATTCCCACAGACACAAGGAAACCTGTGCCTTGGTTTCCCCATCAATACAACAAGCAGACCATAGGCACGTAACTGGAAATCCTCAGGTCATGCCACACTCGCCTGTTTGCTGTTCCTGGGACCCAAACTTTGGCTCCTTCCCCTTGACAAGCATTGTGGGGAGGAAGAGGGGGGACAGACCCTGGATGCCATGGGCATGGTCTGCAGCCTTCCGGGCAGTGTTGTTGGAGTTGGCTGCTCTTGCCTGCTGCCATGGACCCAGAGCTGAGGGAACTGGAGAAACGGAAGAGGTGATTAGCAGAAACTGCCCTGAGGCTCAGTCTCCCCAGCCAGAGACCTGCATTTCCATATCAAAAATATCAGTGTCCTCCCCTACTGCATGTTTCTGGCTTCATTTCTTTTGGGGTCATTGCAGCACAGGGACACCGGATGCTTTTGTCTCCCAGAGCCCAGGCAACTGGCCCATAGCTCTTCCCCTGTCCTGTGTGCTGCTTCTCTGCCTGCCAGCACTGGAGCCTGGGGACTACATGTCTCTGAGCACATGGAGCTTCCTGGCATTGCCTTCCCAGTCATCCCACATGGAGCTTCCTGGCATCGCCCTCCCAGTCATCCCCACTGCAGCTTGTGCTCCAGCCCTGGGGAACCTGCAAGTTGTTACAGGGACCAAAGTTACCGAGTCTGCTTATAATAAGTGGAATCAGTCTTTTTAAAATTATTTTTAAGTCACTTTATTTTTGTGAGAGACTCACTGGTTGCGATTTTTGGGGGCTTGTTTTATTTGGAGGTCACTTATTTTGGGCTTTTTTGTAATAGGTGACTTCAAAAAAGCTATAGTTCAGGAGTGGGCAAACTGACAGACCTGGCCAGCTGCCATACTCCATTTCCCAGCAGCCCACATGGCTGGGGCCAATTTCCATGGAGGCCCCAGCAGCAGCCCTGCTGTGATAGTGCAAGGCTGGGGTTTCCATGGTGGCCAGCCCCGGCAGGGACACGTGCCACAGCTGGGTTGGGATCTTGCAGCAATAACAGTGTGGTCTGGAGCTGGAGCAGCCTGCAGATAGCCATCTCAAAATCCCCATAGCCTCCCATCGGGTTGCGGGGTTGTTTTGGTTTTGAAATGGCTTAGGCTTGTTTTGGGCTTGTTTTTAAAGGCAGCGCCGCTTTTTTTTTTCCGCATGAGACATTACAGCATTGTCAGGAACTTTCCAACATGTGTCATTCATGCTTCGGGATCAGCTCCTGCTGCTCATTATTGCAGTTTGGCAGATGCCCAAAATGTGATCAGACAGTGATTCTATTTCAAGTGCCCAAGCTACAGACCAGGAGCATAGAGGCCTACATTAAACACATGGAGAAGCAGCAAGAGGCTAGAAGACACACACATGCCAGCTCTATGGGTATGATTCTTGCTTGAGGTGTAAGACAGCCTGGGTTCAAATCCCAAATGAGCCCGATGTTTGGGTGGCTTGTTGGACTAGGCATATGATTCCTGGTTTCAGTGAGGTAGGTCCCAGCCTCAAAATCTGGAGAAGCCTGCATTTTGGGTGGCTTGCTAGTCTTTGAGTTTCATTCTCACATTGGGTGTGAGAGGTCCTGTGTTCAAATCCCAGGGAAATCTAAGCTTTTTGTGGCTAGTTGGCCTAAGGGTATGATTCTCATTTTGGGTGTGAGAGGCCCCCAGGTTCAAATCCCAAGCTTTGGGTGGATCATTAGTCTAGGCATATGAGTCTTGCTTTGGGTGAGACCGGTCCCAGCCTCAGATCTAGGCAAAGCCTCTATTTCAGGTGGCTTGTTAGTCTTGGGGTATGGTTTTTGCTCTGGGTGTAAGAGGTCCCAGGTTCAAATCCTGGAAAAGCCCAAGTTTTGTGTAGCTCGTCAGTGTAGGGGTACAAGTCTCATGCTGGGTGTGAGTCGTCCTGGGTTCAAATCCTACATGAGCTTTTTTTCGGTGGGGCGGGCTGGTCTAGGGGTGATTCTTGCATTGGGTGAGATAATTCCGGGCTTCAAATTTCAGGCGAGCCCTTTAGTTGTGAGAGGTCCTGGGTTCAAATCCCAGACGAGCCCAAGGTTTGTGCTGGTCTAGGCTTATGATTTGGGCTTTGGGTGTGAGAGGTTCCTGTTTCAAATCCCGGGCAAGCCCTAAGCTTTGGGTGGCTCGTTACTCTACACGTATGATGCTCACATGGGGTGTGAAAGGCCCCTGGTTGGAAACCCAGCTGAGCCCATATTTCAGGTAGCTTGTTGGTCAGGTGGTATGATGTTTGCTTTAGCTATAAGAGGTCTTGGGTTCCCATCCTAAATAAGGCTGCGTTTTGGATGGCTTGCTCCTCTAAGAAAAGGGTTCTCATTTTGTGTGCAAGAGGTCCTGGGTTCAAATCCCGGACAAGTTTGTGTTTTGGGTGGTTTGCTGGTCTGGGCTTTTGGTTCTCACTTTGGGTGTGAGAGGTCCCCAGTTCAATATCAAATGAGCCCAAACTTTGGGCAGCTTGTTGCTGTAGGGGTATGATTCTCGCTTTGTGTGCGAGAGTTTCCGGGCTCAAATCCCAAATGAATTGGACTTCTGGGTGGCTCGTTACTCTAGGGGTATGATTCTAGCTTTGGGTGTGACAGCTATGGTTTTCAAATCCCAGACATGCCTAGTTTTCGGGGAGCTTGCTTGTCTAGGGGTATGACTCTTACTTCACATGTGCGAGGTCCTGTGTTCAAATCCCAGACAAGCCCAAGTTTTGGGTGGCTTGTTGTGTAATGGTGGAAATTGGGGCTTGGCTCATTTAGTTTATGGTAAGTAGGTCAACAGATAACTTTTATCTGACCCACCCTCAAGAGACCCTGGGATACAGTGCTGTGCGCACACCCATGTGCCATGTGCAGAGCCCTGGAGTGCTAGGTGCACTACCCCTATAAAGGGCTCTTGATTGACAGAAACTGTGTGTGGGACTGGGAGCATCTGAGCTTGGTGTGCAGGGTGCATGTATGTGGCTGAACTGAGGTGGGACTGCAAGAGGGAAAGAAGTCAGGGTGCTTGCATACAGAAAGGAG